CAGTGAGGAACATGGGCCAGTCCTGGAGTCTGGGGAAGGCTCTGATGAGGGCTCTGTGTCGAAGGCAGAGAGGGGGCCAGAGCCATATGCCAATTATCAGCTGCCTTCAGAGTCAGACATCAGTGAGGCAGACAAAGAGCTGGAGCCTGTTCCCAGTGTGCGCATGCGCAGAGCTTCCAGGAGAAGGGAACAGCTAAGGAACAAGAGCCGACTCGGGAGTAAAGCCACAGGTGGCCACTGAATGGCCCCTCCCATAGGGAATAAAAGAGGAGCGAAAGGGGAGGGGAGTTTGCAGGAGAAAATGAGTTCCATTCACTAGGGTGAAGATCTCTTCCTGACTTCTTGCCAAGTATTGTCTGCTACAGAGTGGCGTTTGGAAGATATCAGCCTGGCAGCTCTCCANGAAGTTGGAGGGAAGCAAGCGCAAGGCTGACTCCGACTCTGAGGATAGGGGGGAAGAAAGCAGACCAAAGGAAAAAAAAGAAGAGGTAAAGCAGTTTCCTTCAATACATTATTCACTCAAGGTTGTTTATATCTTATAATTAAAGAGAAAAAGAATGGTTGACAGAAATTTTAAAGAGAGTGTTATGACCCAGGTTGCTTAGGTAGGCAGGCTTCCATAGAGTGCTTTATTGTTCTGTTAAATTCCACAATGAATGGCTCTTCAACAGCCGGTAAGGCCCTGCCCCACACTTCCCTAAAGGTAGCCATCCTCAGTCCCACAAAGAAAAGCCAATAAGCAAGAAAATCAATTTGCAAAGGCAGAAAGGAAGTCCAAAGAGGAGGTGGAAGCTCACAGGGCAAGGTGCAAACTCAAGGTCCACTGGTCAAAACAAGTCCACAAGGCAAAGACACAAGGCAAGGCACAGGCAGAAACGTGAGTCAAAGCTAAGTTTTTCCAAAGTGGGGGCTGGGGGGGAGAGACAATCTCCCCTGGCTTCTGATTAAATCAACTCAAGCCAGGTGTTCCTTGTGAGGAAGGGCGGGGCAACCTTCTCCTGAGCAGCCTCACAGACCTCCTTTGAGCTTGCCCCCACTCTACTCTGTGCCCTCCAATCAGTGGGGGAGGCAGCTGTTCCTCATCACGGGATCTGCCGCCTCTCAACAGTGCTGCCTGTCTGCAGCCGCTCCTCCCCTGTATCTGTGAGGGCAGACAGCTCTCCGTCTAGTTGACCACCTCCCTCAATGTCTGAGTAGTAGTTTGGCTGCCTAAGACTGCTAGCTCTGTTTGGTTCATGCTTGTGCACTTTTCAAGGTGTGCCCGTGGGGTGGGGTGGGGGTGGGGTTGAAGCTAGCTCTGCACCAGAAAGATGAGCGGCTTTCCTGTCATCCAGGACCCTTTCCCTTCACCTCACAAACAGGCGTCACATTCGGGAAGGTCCAGCACCAACAGGATTCTAACCGTCCACATGAAGCACCAGCTCATAGTGAACATGCTTTTGAACTGCTAGGTGGGCAAAAGCTGAGGCGAGTAACAGGAGCTCACTCAACCACACAGTGGTAGGACTGAAAGTATGTAGAGATTCTCAGTCATCCAGGTCATGGTTGTCCCAAAGGTGTTTTTTCAGGATATAAATTCTTCCATTCCCCACTATCCTGTCAGAGCTGAAGAAGCTTCTTGGATGAGAAGTGAAATGTCTTCAAAAGAAAAAACAAGAAAGTCCAGTTGTCTCCTGAAAAAGCACCTTTGGGACAGTGCTAGGACTTGAAATGCTGGAGCAAAGACCATCTCCAGCATCATTAAGCCACTGAGCCACCACATCTCTAGGTTGTAAGTGCTCTGGGGAGATCTGTCATAACTTTGAACAGTTGTTAGACAAACTGTCATAACTACAGGTAGTCCTCAAGCTATGACCACAATTAGAAATGAAATCTCAGTTGTTGAGCAAAACGCTTAAGTGAGACACTGTGACTGGTTTTTTTTTTTCAATGACCACAATCCTGGCACTCCCAGTTGCTGTCATTACATGGATGGAGTCCCAGGTAAGGAGCATGGGGTACCTCAGGGGTGGGTGGGTGGGTGGAGAGAATCTTTAATTGGACTGCAGGGATGGAGCTAAAATCTTTAGGTTCCTGCAGCTTGACAAAGAATTTCCTTTCCCCTCCATCCATTGGGGGGGAATCTTGAAGAAATGTGCCATATTTATACAAGACGCTCTTAGATTTTGGGGAGGAAAACAAGGGAAAAATATCTGCCTCTGCCTCCCAGCAATTTGCCTCCTTGCAACTAAAGTAGAATAAAATATGGATTAAAAATATAAGAATNTGGGGGCAATATGCTGACTCTGTAAACCGCTTAGAGAGGGCTGAAAGCCCTATGAAGCGGTATATAAATCTAACTGCTATTGCTATTGCTATAAATTGGACGTCCAGAGGGCTCTCCTTATTTATATTAAGCGAACAGCTCCTTCTCAGAAAACAGAAGCGTTATTCCTTTCATTTCAGCCTTCCGCAGTGGGTTCTAGGGTTTCACCTACTACCATAGGACGTTGGCTGAGAGCGTGCATCGCACGGGCTTATGAGGCTCAGGGTAAACCTGTGCCTCAGGGGATCACAGCACACTCGACTAGAAGCGCTGCCACTATGACAGCATGGAATACTCAGGCCCCAATTGGGGACATTTGCAGGGCAGCTATATAGGCATCTTCATCGCCATTCATAAAGCACTATAGGTTGGATGTGTTTGCATCCGCCAAGGCATCCTTTGGCCGAAGGGTGCTTCAAAGAGTGTATACACCATCAGAAACTATGGACCAGTAAGTTCCCTACCCTAAGGACTGCCGCTTTGGTATGTCCCACTTCTGGAACGTCCTGCACCATCAGCTGGAGAAGGGACGTTGGTCCTACCTGAACGTTCTTCTCAGCGAGGCACAGGATGGTCCAGATCCCACCCTGTCAGTCAGGCCCGTAGTCCACTGGGCTGGGTGACCTGCGGGGTAGGGGCTGCTTTTCTCTTGTTCTGTAGGTTGAAGCTGTGTCTTCATCGAAATTGGAGCCAAGCAGAAGAGGACTGGAGGAGTGGCTTCAACTATGACTCAAGTCTCTGGGCAGATAAAGATGTAACAACCCACTTCTGGACTGTCCTGCACCACACTGAGAAGAACGTTCAGGTAGGACCAACATTCCTTCTCTTCCATTATTTTTCATCTTTATAGTTATTTTTTCTTAATACATAAACAATATCTTCAATTGCCCCTTCCAAGTTACACCAAATTTTCATTTCTTATTTTCTCCATTGGTATATTTTGCTATAAACAGCATACATCCTCTAATTCAATGTAAGCATAGAGAACATTTCTTTCAAAAATTTTCTACCATTAACAATATACTATCATTTCTTTCTTAATTAGTTACATAACAATAACAATCTTACTACTATTCTCTTTAGTCCATTAATGTAACTCTTTTCCCCTTTCTTCCTCTTTTAACCATTTTCTCTTGGGCTCTCAAAAATCCCAGTTTTAATTCTTTTCCTTCTTCTCCCCCTTTCCCCTAACTACTTCTTTTTCTTTTCCCTATTTTTGTGGTTAATGTATCTTTTCTTCAGAGTATTTACTTTTATTATTCTAGTAACTTTCCCCAGGGTTTCCCCTGTTCTCCTCCTTTCCTTACTATTTTGTGGTTTCTTTTTTGGGAGATATCCCCGTGTCTACTTTTTCTTTGTGACTGTAAATCCCAGTGAAATCTTCTATCTGCATTTTATTTTCAATTCTTTTTCCCACCTTATCTTCCTGAACCTCATTTGTGCCCTCTTTTACTCCCTCTTCTCCTATTTCTTGTTCTGTATATTCCCTTTGATTTCCTGGGTTTGCTTTACCAATTAACGTTTCACGTGCGCTTTTCAGCATCACAAATAATTCATCATACATTCAAATCGCCATTATGCAAGTTTAACTATTTTAACAGATGTTTAATTGGAAATTTAGGATCTTTCAGATTCTGTTGCTCAATTTTAAAATTAGTCCAGTCCAGTCCAAGTTAAAGTTTCCTTTCTCTTCCACAGCTGTAGTTACAGTCAAAACAATGTTGCAAAGACAGCTACTCCTTAACGATCCTCACGGTTTCAAAGTCTCTTCCTGAATCCAAGGTCACACTGCCGCTGCAACTCTCTTTTTTTCCCTTTTCTTTCAAAGTGCCCACACCCATAATGCAATGACCTCCCCACACGCATGTGCGCAAACCCCCCCTGAGTTCCCCTTGTGCATACATGCAGGCCGCACTGAAGCCTCCAGACTTCCGGTAGGCCTGTTGGGCTGTTTTTTGTCCTCCCCAGGCTTCAGGGAAGCCTCTGGAGCCTGTGAATCGCAAAAAATGGGCCCCACGGAAGTTCATTTCTGAACTTCTGGTAGGCCCGTTGGGCCCATTTTTCACCCTCCCCAGGCTCCTGAAGGCCAAAAATCAGCTGGCCAGCGTGCACATGTGCACTGGAGTTGACATAGGTGGCACACGTGCCCTCAGATATGGCTCCGCAAGCCACCTGTGGCACACATGCCATAGGTTTGCCATCACGGCTCTAGGTCATCTGAGCCATCCCTTCTTCTCCCCTGTCCCTCCAGGACAGGTTTCAGTCCGAAGACCTCCCAACAGCGGTTTGTCCGGCTGGATTTCCTCGAGGCTTGGCAGAGCATGCTTTTTCCCAGCCGGCCTTGCTGCGACACTTCTGCCTTCTCCAAGACATAACAAAGTTAAACCACATTTACCACCACCCCTGCAATTCCCCCGAAACAAAAGCTGCAGAAAATCCTTTTTTTTCATCACTCTACCCATTGCAGCCCCTGATACCAAAAAACATGTTAAAGGTCAGGACTTAGCTACCAAAACATGGGCCACCTTATTCCTATTTTAGGTTATTTTTGTTATATTAAGGTGGGTCATATAGCAATCTTCTTTTGAGATCAGGAAAAAAAAACAAGAACATAAGTATTGAATATTAGAAAACCACAGGAGTCCTTCATGGTCTGGCCCAGTGGCAGTAAAACAACAATTATTTTTCCTTCTAGGTGCCTGGGGTTGAGGATCAGAGGGCCTTGTCTTTGAAGGAGTGCCTTAGACTGCTAGAGGCTACATTTCCCTTTGGGGAAAATTCCGAGGTATATGTTTTCACACTTGATGATCAGTTTAGTTCCCTACTGCACTGCTATGCCTTCCAGATATATTAAACTGCAACTCCAGTAATTTTCAGTCCGCAACAATGGTAATTGGAATTGTGGTAGCTGGGGTTTGACACATCTGGAGGTCATCAGGTTAGAGAAAGCAAGCTTGGTGTTCACTCCATTTGCCAGTTCCACTGACAATTTCAGTCTAGCAATAGCCAGTTTGGTCTAGTGGTTAAGGTACCAGGCTAGAAAGTGGGAGACTGTGAGTTCAAGTCCAGCCATGAAGGCCAGTTTGGGGGTCAGTCACTCTCTCTCAGCCCAACTCACCTCACATATATGTTGTTGTGGGGAAAATAGGAGGAGAAAGGTGTGTTGGATATGTTATTAGTCTCCATCTCATGTCCTTGCAACAACCTTGTGAAATGGACAACTGTGCTATGCTTTGAGTAGAAGGCAATGTTCTGAATTACCCAGGGATTTACTCACCCACAAAGCCCAGTGCCTTGTCCGTTTTACAGTGTCAGTATTGCAATTGAATCCCCCTCCCTCTTTGCTCTTATCCTAGTGTAGAGTCAGGGAGATTTATACAATACAGAGTGAATCTCACTTATTCCCACACTTTCATGAGGTTCTCTAGGAGCCTCTTGGCTAATCATTACCTTTTATTCCAACCTATTCACAAGATTTCTGTGAAGGAATATCTATTCATGTATTTATAATGTGTGAAATACATTTAAGTAAATAATAAACCTTGGGAAAGAGGATGGACTGCCACAGCATGTGGCAAAAGCTTAAGAACCTCTAAAGTTCATACACTGAAAGGAAAGAAAAAATTATTTATTACTGTTTTCATGCCACCTAGACACCATTAATTTACCCAGATCTGTTTTGTTTTAGTTTCCAGCTGCAGGTGTTCCCAGCCTAACTGACTTTCAGCCAAATGAGAGTGGCCCTTCTGTCATTTCAGATGGGGTCCTGTCTCCCCTTTTGACAGATACAGAGTTGCCCTTTGATCTGGAACAACAGTGGCAGGACCTCATGTCTATCATGGAAACACAGGTGAGGAAAGACAGGTTTCTCCAGAGGTTGCTTTTTCCAGGACCAGTACCTATAGGACAATCTCCTATGCTTGCTGGATTTAGTATTCCTCTTTGTCCTGCTTTCATCAGTTTCATACAACTCATAATTTTTGTCCTAGAAGTGTCTTCTGGGGGCAAGTTGTTCCACTTTGTTCTAATTGTCAGGAAATCTCTCCTTAGTTCTAGGTTGCTTCTCTCCTTGATTAGTTTCTATCTATTGCTTCTTGTCCTGCCTTCAGGTGTTTTGGAGAATAGGTTGACCCCCTCTTATCTGTGACAGTATCTGTAATGTAGAGCAGTCTCTTTACTCCTGTTAGGACTTTTTTCCTGTAGCACTTGGTAGTAGTATAGAATGGAACATTCATTACAAAGGGACAAATGCAAAATATCTGTAGAGTTGGAACTTCCCTAAAACCATCATGTTGAATGTACTCCTCAAAATCAGAAAAATGTGTGGCACCAAATGATTACCAGCGAGATAGTAAATCAGAGAACACCTAAACCACTTACTAGAGGGGAAATAAAAACAATCCTCAGGATTCTAATCTGTCTAATCTGGGGACAATTGTTTTCATATGCACAACTGTGCAACATGTCTGTACCCCTCCCTGTCATAGTGTTTCCCTTATATACAGGTAACTACCCACCTCCTGCTTTTTTATTTTGCCAACAGCTTGGTGGCCGGAGGGGAGAATTGGATACATAAAAATGCATTTTTATGTACAAAATAGCCTTGAGGGAAAACAATAGGTCTTCCTAGATGCTTTCCTGATGGTTAGAGGACAGTAACTGATAAGATTGTTATCTAAAAACAAGGTATTTAATTTCTTATTTGTTTATAGTGAACCCCATATCTGAATTTTTTGTCCATCTAAGTGGATGAGGAGACTACCATAAATTTTAATGTATGTTTCCAGGCCAATGTGCCCAGAATACAAGATACTAAGTTTGGGATGAAGGCCAGTATACTCCCCCTACTACCTTCTATGCCTCCTATGGAGGATTGGAGGGTCCACTGGATCAGATTTTATGTGAGTTAAGGCTTGTAAAAGCAGAAGAGGTAAATGTGATCCTCCAATGGTATTCATTCTGCTAGTAGAAGTATAATTCATTTTTACTATTTTCCTTGGACTCTTTAATTTTTAAGTTGGTTGAATTGGGCAATACTGAGAACTGCAGAATCTAAAAAGTCTCTCTTTCCTTTGCAGAGCATGGAGGTGAACAGCACAACTCTATATAACAGCTCAAGTGGAAACCTTCTGACAGCCAACTACAGCCTTGCTCCATCCACCCCTATTAACCAGAATGTCAGCCTGCATCAGGCATCGCTNTGGTGCATGTATGTGTTTGTGTGTTATCATTTCCAAACCTGATGGCTTGTGAGGAAAAAAAAAAAGACAGTTGGCTAACCTGAACGGTCGTTCTCTGGACGTTGCAGGAGAGTCCAAGCATGGGTTAACACAGTCTATCTGCCCTAGGACTGAGTGAGTTTTTTCTTGACCACGCCTCCCTTTGCCTCCTTGAAATCAGGTTAAAAACGAAGAAGTAACCGTACAGGAGTTCCTTTCCACAGTCACTTATAGGCAATAGTCCTGAACACTTCAGAAGGCCCTGGGTGGGTTTGGACTCTCCCGCAGCGCCCAGAGAACGACCGTTCAGGTAAGCCAACGGTCTTTCTCCTGTGCACTGCTTGAAGAGTCCAAGCATGGGACATACCCAAGCTATTGTTTCCCAGGGTGGGTAGATACCGGAGTGTCTGGAGCCTCTGCAACTTTTTGCAGAATTCTTCTTCCGAAAGAGGCTTTGGCTGAGGCAAACGTGTCAATTTTGTAGTTCTTGATAAATGCTGTGGGAGAAGCCCACGTGGCCGCTCTACAAATGTCAATAATGGACGCCTGGGTCGCCCATGCTGCTGAGGTAGCGGCACTCCTTGTTGAGTGTTCAGTCATACGGCTTGGCGCGGCCCTGCCCTGATGTTCGTAGGCCAACTTAATGCAGGCTCCCAACCAACGCCCGATGGTATGAGATGATGCTTTGCGATCCAGCAACCCAGGATGAAATGATACAAAAAAGGATTCGGAATGTCGGAATTCCTTGGTCCTCTTTACATAAATGCGAACAACACGTCTCACGTCCAACTTACGTTCTTTAGGATGTGTAGGCTTGGGACAGAAGTTGGGAAGGATCACTTCCTGAGATCTATGAAAATGAGTGTTACCCTTAGGGATGAACATGGGGTCAAGTCTCAAAATGACTCTGTCAGTATGTATAATGCATAGGTCTTCCCTGATGGAAAGAGCAGCCAGTTCAGATACCCGTCGAGCGGATGTAATGGCCACTAGAAATGCCGTTTTAATAGTCAGATGATGGAGGCTCGCTGTTCGAATTGGCTTGAATGGTGCTCCCGTTAAGGCTTGTAGAACAAACGGCAAGTTCCAGGACAAGTAACGGTGAACCGTCTGGGGACTGATATTCACCGCGCCCTTCAGGAAGCTCTTGACCTGCGGGTGTTGACTCAAGGGCCGAGAGGAACCCCTAGTGAGAATGGTGGATAAGGCCGCAACCTGACGACAGAGAGTGTTAGGTGCTAATCCTTTGTCCAATCCCTCCTGCAGAAAGTCTAGTAATTGTGGGACTGAAGCAGAGGTGTCTCTTATACCCTTTTTCTGACACCAGGTCGAGAATGCGATCCATGTCGCTTCATATATCCTAGTGGTGGAAGGTCTTCTGGACGCTTGGATAGTTTGTATGACCTTGTCAGAAAGGTTCTATTTCCTCAGGAGGTCCCCCTCAAGTGCCAGACGGCTAAATGTAGCCACTGGGGGTCCGGATGGCAGACGGCCCCTTGGCTGAGGGAGATTTGCTCCTGAGGAATTTTCCATGGTTTCTGAATGGAGAGACTGACAAGGTCTGCGTACCAGGACCTCCTGGGCCAGTAAGGTGCTACTAGGATGATCTCCGCTTCCTCCGCTAGTAGTTTGGACACNACCCCTATTAACCAGAATGTCAGCCTGCATCAGGCATCGCTAGCTGGCTGCACACAAGATTTTCCTTCCCTGTTCAGTTCTGAAATTGAAAGTCCCTCAATGGCTGGAGGCTCAGCTTTGCTGCAGCTGGTTCCTGATAACTCCACTGGCTTCAACAAATTTGGCTCTACCAACCTAAGTGGGAACTTTTTTCCTCCCCAGTTAAACTGCACTGTAACTGAAACATCTGGGTCTGAACTCCCAGATCCTCTTGGAGGGCTCCTGGATGAAGCCATGCTAGATGAGATTAGTTTAATGGATTTGGCTATTGAAGAAGGCTTCAACCCAGTGCAGGCATCCTGCTTGGAAGAGGAATTTGATTCAGACTCTGGGCTCTCCCTGGATTCAAGTCACAGTCCTGCTTCTCTCAGCAGCTCAGAAGCATCATCCTCTTCCTCCTTTTCTGAGGAAGGAGCTGTAGGCTACAGTTCTGATACTGAAAATGTGGACTTTGAAAATGCAGGAGGAGCTGTTGGGTATCAGCCAGAATATAGCAAGTTCTATCGGATGAGCTACCAAAATCCTCCTCAGTTGCAGTACCTGCCTTATCTTGAGCATGTGGGTCACAATCACACATATAACATGGCCCCCAGGACCTTAGACACTGATGAGTCCCAGCCAGCTAGTATGGGAAAGAAGAGTTCCAAAGAAAAGCAAGCAGATTTTCTAGATAAGCAGATGAGTAGAGATGAACATAGAGCCAGAGCCATGAAGATTCCTTTTCCCAATGAAAAGATCATCAATTTGCCTGTAGAGGAATTCAATGAACTCCTGTCCAAGTATCAGTTGAGTGAAGCACAGCTGAGTCTAATCCGTGACATTCGCAGAAGGGGTAAGAATAAGATGGCAGCCCAGAATTGTCGTAAAAGAAAACTGGACACTATCCTCAATCTGGAGCGGGATGTAGATGATTTGCAGAGAGACAAATCAAAGCTGCTCAGGGAGAAGGTGGAATTTCTCAGGTCCATCCACCAGATGAAGCAAAAAATGCAGACCCTCTACCAGGAGGTATTCGGCCATCTGCGTGATGAGAATGGACAGCCCTATTCCCCAAACCAGTATATTCTACAGCATGCCAGTGATGGCAGTGTTATTCTAATATCACGTTCCTTGGCTGAGCAGCAGAGGTGGTGTCAAGAGAAGAAACAGAAAGACAGGAGGAAGTGAAAGATGATAAATATCATTTGAAAAGCATAAACTTGCTGAATCTGCAACNGGTCCGGGTGCAGGCGCCACTCAGAGTGGTCGATCTTTTGCCGACTCAGCCAATCTGCCTCCTGGTTGCTGGTCCCGGATATGTGGTCTGCTCTGATGGAAGCTAGATGGCGTTCTGCCCACCTGCCCAGGGACTCCGCCTCCGCCATGAGCCTCTTGGAGTCGGTGCCGCCTTGCCTGTTTATGTGGGCCTTTGTTGCTACATTGTCTGTTAGTAACAGTACATGTTGGCCCACAATCAGCATTGAAAACCGCCGTAAGGCGAGGCGGGCAGCTCTCAGCTCCAGCCAGTTTATGGTGTGGGAGGCTTCTTTCTGGGTCCACAGGCCCTGAGCGAGCTGGCCCTGACAGTGTGCCCCCCATCCGTGAAGGCTGGCATCGGAAGTCACCACAACCCTTTTGGGCTCCTGGAACAGGCACCCCTACTTGACTGCCGCTGTTCTCCACCAGGATAGGAATCGAATCACCTTCCGCAGTGGCCGCACACACCTCGATGAGTTGCTGGCCTTTGCCCTTTGCATTGGCAGGAGGAACCACTGTAGTTCCCTGGCATGGAGACGTGCTCAGGAAACTACCTTCAGACATGAGATCATGATGCCGAGAAGTTGTGACAGTTTGACGATTGGCACTGACCTGGACTGCTGGCATTGGCGCACTCTGTTTTTTAGGTTTATCAGCCAGTCCGGTGATAGGAACACCTGGCAAGAGACCGAGTCTATGGTGTTGGATGCGTGTGGTCGGCTCAAGATGGCTCTTCTCCAGGTTCACCGAGAAGCCATGTTGTTGTAGCGTCCATACGGTCACCTGGACGTCTCATCGGGCTTGGTCTCGGCTTGAGGAGTGAATGATGATGTCGTCTAGATAGCATTCTAGACGAATCGGGCGGTTCCGGAGGTGGGCCGCCACCACTGCAAGGAGCTTCGTGAAGGTCCTGGGCGCAGACAAGAGGCCAAAGGGGAGAGTCCTGTACTGGTAGTGCCTCCCATTGTAATGGAACCTCAGGAACCTTCTGTGGGCTGCATGGATGGGGACATGCAGGTAGGCCTCCTTTAAATCTATTGATGTGAGCAGGTCTCCCTGTCTTATGCAATCCAGAATGGAGTGGAGGGATTGCGTCTTGAATCTTTTGTAGGCCAGATGCTGATTTAGGCGTTTCAGATCCAAGATGGCCCTCCACCCCCCTGAGCTTTTCGGGACCAGGAAAAGGATGGAATAGAATCCCTGCCTTTCCTGCTCCCTCGGCACGGGTTCTATAGCCCTTATCTGGAGAATATGGAGAATTTCTGCCTGCATAAGGTCTTTTTTCAGGGAATTCTTTGGAGTTGGACAACGAATGAATGTCCTTTGGAGAAAGGATAGGAATTCTAAGACTAGGCCTTTCCTGATTGTGTTGAGGACCCATGAGTCTGTGGTAATTTCCTCCCACTTGTTGAAGCCGACCCGCTATGGGAGGACCCCAGTGATGGTCACTTACCCCGACGGAATTGGCAGGAGTTGTTGCCGCCACAAAACGGCTTCCGAAAGGAATGCAGTTGTTGCCTACTCCGTGCCCCGAAGGAGTTCCTATCCTGACTCCTATCACCTCCCTGGGTGTAGGGTCTATGGTAGGGGGAAGAGGTGGACGCCTGGTTGGATTCCTGGGCTCGAAAGGACTGCTTCCGAAAGGAACCGGAGCTCTTACGCTCGTTCTTCTTTAGAGTGGCCGGGAGGATCTTTCGTTTCAATGACAAACTTGTCCAAAGCGTCCCCAAAGAGTTGTCCCCCTTTGGAGGGGGCGGAAGCTAGCTTCCACTTTGCCTTCATGTCTGCCTGACAGTGGCGGAGCCACAGCAGACAATAAGAGGTTATGTTGGACGCCAACGCCCTAGATGCAAACTTAGCCACATTCAGCGATGCGTCGGCTGAGTACTCTACAGTGGTAATAATTTTGCTGAGATCGTGCTGCCATCGGGATCCCCCGGAGGGGGGCTTGGACCTCAGTTGTCTCAGCCAAAGAAGGGAAGCTCTGGTGAAAAAGGAGGCCGAGGTGGATGCCCTGATGGCCCAGGCAGCCGCCTGATGTGTCTTATGGTACGCCTTCTCAGATCTTTTATCTTCCGCCTTGAGACCTTCCAGGAGGCTTGCTGACAGGTTCGAATTCGAGGTCAATGAGACCACCGGAGCATCCACCTCGGGCAACTTCAACACTTCTTCCATCCTACTTTATACGGAATAAAGGGATTTATCCCCTCCACTAGGATTGGTCAAGGTACCGGGCTGAGCCCACTGTCTTTGGACTACGTCCATGAATAAATCTGGAACTGGAATTAACTCCTGAGTAGTAGTCTCCGTGAACAGACCTTCTTTGGGGTCTTTGGATGAGGAGGATGTTACAGTCGTACTCTTAGGAGTAGACCCTAAATCGGTGGCTGCCTTGGCCTTGTGAAGTATGGACTTAAATGAGGGCTTGAACAAACCGGTAAAGGCCGGCTTATCAGGTGGAAGATCCTCATCCTCCGATAATTCAAAATCTTCAGCCTCCTCCTCTTCCCAGACCGAATCCTCTGTGGCCACCGAGGTGCCAGGAGAGGCTGGGGCCTGGACAGTGTTTTGAGTTGGGGCCTGCTTTGACTTAGAGGAGCCGGACTTCCAGGCCTCCTTCTGCCCTATGCCCTCAGCTATACCCTGGGAGATGGCTATGGTGATCACCTCCCTCATCTCCGCAGACAGGGCAGGTCCCTTGTCCTCCCTGGGTCGAGATCTGGTTGGAGCGGGCCGGCTCCTGAATCCACCTGAACTGGTCCCCTCCTCTGCTGGGAGGATGCCCTGGAAGGGTTCCAGTTCCTCCCTGAGGGATGAGCTGGGTGACTTGGGGTAACCCCAGGAGGCATCAGGGAAGACTCCCTCAATTCCTCTTCCATTATTGAGGGAGACCTACTGCCCTGAGGGGAATGAGGTTCCCGTTCCTCCCACTGACCTGAGGGCGAGCCTGGTGCTGGTGCCGCATGGTCAGGGGATCTTTGTGTTTGCAGGGCTTTTGTCTCCGCAGGCCTTTGTCTCCAGGAACACTCCCTGGCCTTGTCAATGGTCCCTGAGGTCCCCGAGGAGGCTTTCTTGGTGGTGCCTTTCCCTCCCTTTCCCCCTTTGGGTGGAGGATCTAGCCTACTGCATTTGGTGGAGGGCCCCGCCTGCACCTCCAATTCTGTCAGCCAAACTGCTCCGTATCTTTGCTGGAGCAAGGAGGTGGATCCTGCAGTAGACGAGCACTGGGTGCTAGCCAGTCGGCTGCAGCGCACCCACAGATCAGTGAAGGAGAGGGCCACCCAAAGGACAGATCCCTTCCTCCGTCCGCCCTGGGGAGCTCTGAGTGGTGGGAACAGGAAGGCAGGCCTGGCCGGCGCCCCGGACAAGGCCCCACACTTCCCGGCGGTGATCTGCGGCTGAAAGGCTAAAGCGATGTTGCCAGGGCCGGATTTTCCTATAGGCTAACTAGGCTTCAGCCTAGGGCCTCAAGATCAAGAGGGGCCTACATTCAAATTGTTAGCAATTT